TATGTGACTTTCTCTCATCCCGACACTGCGGTGTAGACCTTTCTGGATGCACCATGCATCTGGCTAGGTAGCTAGCTAGATTTTGGTGTGTGTGTGTGTGGTGGTGGTGGGGGTCAGTTATCAATGTTACAAATAAACCCCTCTGATTAGTAAATGAAGATATTATTCTTTAGCGGGCACTAAGTCATGGTTGGATGGGGAAAGAGGCTCTGGAAAGCTGCTGTCCCACAGCAGGAGAAGAGGCTTTCAAGGTCTCTCCTGTGGGGCTGGAGAGGTGGCTCAGTGGTTAAGAGCACACTGGCTGCTCTTCCAGAGGTCCTGAGTTCAATTCCCAGCAACCACATGGTGGCTCACAACCATCTGTAATGAGATCTGGTGCCCTCTGCTGGCCTGCAGGCATACATGCAGGGAGAACACTGTATACATAATAAACAAATAAATCTTCTAAAAAAGAAAAAGAAAGAAAAGTCTCTGTGAGTTTGAGGCCAGTCTGGTCTACAGAGTGAGTTCCAGGACAGGCTTCAAAGCTACAGAGAAACCCTGTCTCTAAAAACAAGACAACAATTTAAGTGTATCAATTAAGACAAGGACTGGAGAGATAGCTCAGTGGTTAAAAGCACTGGCTCCCCTCACAGAGGACCTGGGTTTGACTCTCAACACCCACATGACAGCTGACAACTGTAACTCCAGTTGCAGGACATCTGGGACACCCTCTTAGAGCCCCCAAGGGCACTACATGTAACCCCCCAATACACATAAAATAAAAGACAGGGGTTGGAGAGATGACTCAGTAGTTAAGAGCATAGCAGAGGACTTGGGCTGGGTTCACAGCACCCACAATGATGCTTGCAATTCCAGCTCCAGAAGATCCAACATCCATCCTTTTGGACCTCTCTGGGCCACTAAACTCTCACGCACAAATCCAGTTTCTCCCTACATACATATATACATACTAAAATAAATATTTCTTAGAATGCATAAGCCAGGCATGGTCATACATGCTAAGGGGTTAAACTCTCCCACTTTACAACTGAACTTAGGTTTCAGTTCTCTGAGACGGACACACAGGTGTCTCTCCCAACAAAAGAGTCAATTATCCACTATTAACATTCAGGGGTTCGAGGGAGAAAAAGGGACAGAGAGCCTAAATCAGCCTCACAGTATCTCAAGGACAAATCCAGCAGCCCCCTTCTGGGTCACATCCAAGCTTATGAAGACGTGTCCAAAAAAAAAAAAAAACGATAAAACTAAACCTCAAACAATTAGAAATATATGAATGTGACTGATGCTTAACCAATTAAATCTGACATCACCTAATTAATCTTAAAAAACTCCCCTGAACTATACTTCAAAGGAGCCTACAGGTTCCTCTCGGGGTTCGTCGCACTTTGTACATGTGAACGACCTCTCTTGCATGTGGTGTAATAAACGCTCTTTGCTCGTGCATCCCATTTGAGTCTGGGGTCTTCCTTCAGCATTCCCCCGGACCCTACAACGCCTATAAAGCCAGCACTCGGGAAGAGGGGGCAGCATGATCAAGAGTTAAAATCAAGCCTCAGCCATGCCAGCCTGGGCTACATGAGAACATGTCTCAAAAAATTCTAATATTAAAAAAAAAGCCATAAGCCTCTAATCCCAGCACCTGGGAGGCAGAGGCAGGTGGATCTCTGTGAGCTGGAGGCCAGCCTGGTCTACAGAGCTACACAGAGGAACCCTGTACAGAGAAGCCTTTTCCTTGCCAGCAGCTTTGGTTTATTCCCACCAGTCGCCTGGGCTCTGCCGCGTTGTAGTCCCCAAATAACACACAAGACACTGTATTAATTATGAAGCTGTTGGCCTTGCTTGTTTCTTACTGGCTAGCTCTGACTTAATATTTATCCCATAATTGTTAATCTAAGTATTTCTCTTACCGGAGAAAAGTTTCCGGGCTTCTTACCCCTATGGCGGTTTACATCTTGACTCCCTGTGTTTCTCCTTCCCAGAGTCCTCCTGGACTCTTAGTCCCACCTTTCTTGCTTCCCTATTGGCCAACAGTGCTTTATTGACATATACACAGGACTTCCCCATCAGAACCCTATCTCGAAAAACAAACAAGCTATGCCTGATGCCACAGGTCTGTATTCCCAGCTACTGAGGAGCCTGGGGCATGAAGATCCCAAGTTTAAGACCAGCCTGGTCTTGAATGAGTTCCAGGACCCTGTCTGAACCCCCTCCCCACCCCCCCGAAAAAGAAAGACTCTGCAGAAGAATTCTTGCCCAGAATCCAGTGAGAGGCTGGAGACATGACCCAATGGCAGAGCACCTAGGGTGCTGGAGGAGACCCTAGGATCCACCTCCAATAATACCAACAAATATACAAATAAATAAACAAACAAACAAACATAAATAAACCCCGACAAGACAAAAGCAAACTACCATCCGATCGAGAGACTGTCACATACTAATACACATACCTCAAATACTTCAGGGTTGTGCTAACAAAATAACTCTCGACAAGATGTACAAAACATGGGAGACCATTCAGCGGGAGAAGGCGCGGTCAAGCCCGGATTATCTGAATTCTATGCTGGGCGTCACAAGGTAGAGAGAGAATGGACCTCCACAAATTGTCCTCTGACCATCACATGGGCCTCAGCCACATACTCCTGACCTCCAGACGTGAAATGAACAAATGTAGCTAAAACATTAGGAGCTGAAGGGCTGTTCCAGCCTTTAGTGACCTTCCAGAGAACCTGAGCTCCGTTCCCAGCACCCGCACTGGGCAGCCCACAACCTCCCGACTCCAGTTTCAGGGAATTTTTTTTTCATCCTCTTCTGAACTATGCAGAACTATACACACACATTTAATTTAAAGTAAGTTCTGCCTTTTTTTTTTTTTTTTGGTTTTTTGAGACAGGGTTTCTCTGTAGCTTTGGAGGCTGTCCTGGAACTCACTTTGTAGACCAGGCTGGCCTCGAACTCACAAAGATCCGCCTGCCTCTGCCTCCCGAGTGCTGGGATTAAAGGCGTGCGCCACCAACGCCCGGCTCGCCTTTTTTTTTTTTCTTTTTCCAAAACAAAGTTTCTCTGTGTAGCCCTGACTGTCCTAGAACTCGCTCTGTAGACCAGGCTAGCCTCCAACTCAGAGATCCCCCTGCCTCTGTTTCCAGAGTGCTGGGATTAAAGGTGTGCTCAGCCATTGGCCCCGGCAACATTAGCTTTTTGTTGTTTTGTTTAAATAAATCTTTAAAAGAAAAATGGGGGGGGGGGCAGGTAAGTTGGAGTTAGCACTGGGAGCACAGAACTCTTCCTGGTTTACAAACAGTGTCTCTCTTACTGTTTATCAGGTAGAAAGCATTCCCTTAGACTGGAGAGTTGGCTCAGCAGTTAAGAGCACCGACTACTCTTCCAGGAGACCCACGTGGTGGCTCAGAACTATCTATGACTGCAACTCCAGGCACACTCACAGTGCACAATGTAATAAAATAATAAAGCGATAAATAATAAACAAATCTGAAAACATCGGAAAGAAAAGCATTCCCTTGTTTTAATCATTGAAAGGTCATTGCACTCTCAAAGCAGAACCCGCCTGTCCCACAGGTCAGAAAAGGGCCTTTGCTGCCGCCTGCTGGAAATTTCCATAACTACACATGATCGCTTAAAAAAAAAGAAAAAGATTAAACTTTAAATTTATGTCTTTGCTCACATCTGTAATCCCAGAATTCCAGGTGCTGAGGCAGGAAGATGGTGGGGATTTCAAGGTTAGCCTGGGAAACAAGGTGAGATTCTGACTCAATTTTTTTTTTTGAGCTCCACGTGTTGGGAATGATTGCTCAAGCCTGTGACTCCAGAACTCTGAAGACAGAGGCAGGAGGCTAGCAGCCCATGACCATCCTGAGCAACGTAGTTCTAGGTCAGTCAATGCTACATATCAAAACGCTGTCTCAAGTAGAAAAAAAAAGAAAAAGAAAAGGCCTGTTGGTGGTGGTGCACACCTTTGATCCCAGCACTCGGGAGGCAGAGGTAGGTAAATCTGAGTTCGAGGCCAACCTGGTCTACAGGAAGAATTCCAGGACAGCCAGGGCTACACAGAGTAACCTTGTAGTGAAAAATAAAATAGAAAGGAAAAAAGATTTACAAAATAATTGAGGTGGATGAGCAGGTACTCATGCGTGACTACACTCTGCATTCGGAACCAAATGTGTCCCGGTCACGGCATCTAGGACCGAAGACACACCTCAGTGGTCAAGGGTTCTTACCTAGTGTGCAGAAGCCCGAGTTCAATCCCCAGCACCAGATAAAACCAGACGTGGGGCTGCCTGCATGTGCACCTGCAAACCCCCTCCCCCCAATTTGGGGGATGGAGGTGGGATTAGGAACTCAAGGTCGGGGCTGGGGAGATGACTCAGTGGTTAGGAGCACTGGCTACTCTCCCAGAGGTCCCGAGTTCAATTCCCAGCACCTACATGGCAGCTCACAACTGCCTGTTAACTCCAGTTCCAGGGGGGATCCGACACCCTCAGAGACATACATGCATGTAAGATGCCAATACACGTGGAATAAAGACAGCTTTTGAAAAAGGAATTCAAGGCCATTCTGGGCTAAAACACCATGTCTCTAACTTTATAGGCCATGGATGCGATCCGGTGAAGCTACTTTTTCAGCCATTACCCTCCGTATTCAATCCCACCGGGCCACAATTGTGCCAGGAGGAAACCAACCCCTTCAAGCTGCCGTGACCTCCACACTCACGCTGCGGCCTTCAGACTCACGACACACACACACACACACACACACACACACACACACACACACACACACACACGGAAATAAACCCTTGCCGGGTTAACCTCGGCGCTCTAGAGGCAGAGGCAGGAGGGTCTCTATGACCTCAAGACCAGTCTGGTCTACGGAGTGAGCTCAGGCCAGCCACAGTTACACAGGGAGAACCAGTTCTGAAACTCAGTTTTCATTGACATATTAAAAGAAAGATAATGGTAACGGGGAGATATACACAGCAAGTTATTTATTGGAAACTCACATTTTACAGCATTAGGAGGGGACAAAACGTCACTCCCATTTTGTTATTCCATACTGACAGCCTGAGACTGTCACCAAAAACAACGTGTAACAAAAGTCTCCCGAGGAGGGGCATCTCAACACTGTGGGCAGAGAGGTGTGGGGGCAGGGGGGGTCCACAAATTCATAGCCTATCTGGGCTACCTAAGGAAGTGGGTCACTTGAATTTCAAGCCAGCCCGGGTCTACACAGTGAGTTCCAGGGCAGCCAGAGACACATGGTGATTCCTGTGTCACAAACAAACAAACAAACAAACACCAGTCGGGCATAGTGAAACAGAGTGTCCTCAGACCTTCAAAGGGATGAGACATCATTTTAAGTGCTCCCAGGGTGTTGTCATGGAACCGGGTAACCTAGCAACAGTCTCTCTAAGGGGAAAAAAAATTAAACATAAAAAACAACTTCGGTCCGGACGGAGTCACACGGGCTCCCCTCTTGCATGGGTCTTCACGTGTCGCCTCAGTGTGGCCTGCTGCCGGAAGGCGGCATCGCACTCCTCGCAGCTGTAGGGCCTGGAGCCGCTGTGGATGCGGAGGTGGACGTTGAGGTTGCCCTTGTGGCTGAAGCGTTTGCCGCAGTGCTCGCAGCGGTACGGCTTCTCCTTGGTGTGGACGCGGGTGTGGCCCAGCAGGGTGGACTCGTGGGCGAACACCTTGCTGCAGACGCCGCACACGTACGGCTTTTCGCCCGTGTGGGTGCGCTGGTGGACTCGGAGGTCCGAGGACTGCAGGAACCCCTTGTTGCACAAGTGACACTCAAAGGGTCTCTCTCCCGTGTGCGACCTCTGGTGGATGATAAACTGAGACCTGTAGAGGAATGTCCTCTTGCAGTCGCCGCACTCAAACCGAGGCTGGCCTGGGCGACGATCCACCCGCTCTACAGGCTGCCGGGCGGCCACCACGGCGAGCTGCCTGTCTCCAGCATCGTCCACACGGGAGCCCCCTCCTGGGCTAGCAGGGGCATCGTCTCCACTGGGGCTGCAGGGACTCTGAAGGTCTATACTCGCAGCTGCACCTCTTTTTTCTAGAATATGGGTGAACGCTGGGACCGCATCCAATTTTGCGTCTTCCTGGGGCATCATCACATCTGATAAGGAGGGATTCCACACACAACATTTAAGACTTGATGACAGAGGGAGGTGCCCCCCCTAGGAATGCGGCGAGCAGAGGACAACTTTAGGGCTGGTTCTCTCCTGTCACCATGAGGGCCCTGGGGATTGAACACACAGGCAATCAGGCGTTGGGGCAAGTGCCTTTCCCCACCCAGACACATAGCACGCATCAGAGACCGCCTCGATCATACCAGACCCGTTGGAACTAAGCTCTGGTGTTGGCTGGGAACATTCTACCCACGCCCCACGCCTGGAAAGCTAGCGATGGAGGGGGTGGGGAGTGGGTGGGCCACTTCCTCCCACAGGGATGGGAGTTAGTTCCCAATGAGTCCCCACCCTGGACTCACCAGGACCCTGTGCGGGCTGAGGGTCCTGAGGTACAAACACAGAGGCCTTCTCCCAGGCCCGCACCGAGTCACTCTCCGGGCTCTGCTCAGGTCTCTGCCAGTCCGGATCGTTGCTCTCAGGAACCTTCTCCAACAAGGCTTCCTCTCTCTTGACAGGGGACAATGACGAACAGTTGTTATTATTATTATTATGTCCTCGCTCAGGGGAGAGGTGGAGCATAGAACTCGGCCTCTACTTGACCAGGGTCATGACATGTTTCCTGGAGTTGCGGGGGTGCCCATGCTTACTTCTACGGCCCAGCCCAACACCTCACACATAAAGGAATATTCTCTTCTTAGGTGAAGTCTGTCAGTATCATAGAGAAACCATTCCTCCAAACCTCGTATTGATTGCCATTTTAATTCTCTATGCACGTTTATCCCTACCCTTGACTCTGTATGCAAAACGCCTAGTACGGTTTGGGCTACTGAGGGTAGGAGGGATGTTCAGAGGTTAGGAGCGCTGGTTGCTCCTTGCAGAGGACCTGGGTTTGATTCTCAGAACCCACAAAGAGGCTCGCAGCCGTAGCAGCTCCAGTTCTGAGGGTAGGGAGTCGGGTGACTTCTCAGCAGGCACACACAGGGTGCGCAGATACACACGTGCGCAGATACACACGAAAGCAAAATACCCGTACATATATTTATATAAAAAAAAAAAACAGGTGACGGTAGTCCCAGCACTCCGGAGGCGGAGGCAGGCAGATCTGTGAGTTCGAGGCCAGCCTGGTCTACAGAGCGAGTTCCACGACAACTAGGGCTGTTGCACAGAGAAACCCTCCCCACCCAAAATAGGATAACTTGAAAAAGGAATTGAAAATCGAAAAATGACTATTTCTGATGGAGGGAGGGTCTCCTCTGCCATCTATTGTGGAAGAGACAGTGACTGCACACATTTAAAACGATCAGCAAAGGTGGCGTTGCACGGCTTTGGTCCCGGCATTCGGGAGGCAGAGGCAGGCGATCTCTGAGTTTGAAGCCAGCCTGATAAGTTCTAGGACAGCCAGGGTTATGTTGAGAGACTGTCTCATTCTTAGAAGGGGGGAAAAATCTAGCCACCAGATCCTGGTAGGTTAACAGTTCTAAAACATTTCCAGAGAGTGTGGTAGGCCAGACCAGACATTTCAACTCTTGGGAGGAAAAGGAAGAGCAAGGTCACAAGTTCAAGACCAATCTCCCCTACACGGCTAGTTGAAGGTCAGCCTGCATCACAGGGCACTCTGTATCAAACAAAAGAAAACCCAAAGCACCCCTGAGTCATCACCCCCTCCTGGGGACAAACCGCCCTAATAGAAAACCACTCCTTCAAATTTTAGAGGGCCCGGGAATCAAACTCAGTTCATCAAGGCTGGGCAGCAAGTGCCCTAACCACTATACCCTCCTCTCCCAGCACTTTCTATACTCTCAAGTTATTTGTTCATGTGTCTATGTGAGGACATGCCATTTAGATGCATGTTGGTGCCCAAGGAAGCAAGATGATAGATTTCCCTGGGGCTGGGGTTAAAGGTGATTGCCAGCTGCCTGCAGAAGATGCTGGGACTCAAACCCTGGTCCTTGGAGAAGCAGTGAGTGCTCCTAACAGCTGAGCCAGCTCTCCAGGGCTGGGAAAGAGACGGGCTGGGTGTGTCTGCTTTCTCCAGGGTCTGAGCAAGTGCTGCGTCTCTATGGCTGACGGGTCTGAACTCCATCAACCCTTACCCAGCCTCCCATCTCCCCCCAGAGACGGCGTCACACGCTTACCCGACTGACGGACGGGTTCTGAAGCTCTGGGCTGGTGCAGCCACTGCTGGGGCTGTCTCCTGACAACACCACCACCACGGAGTCATCTGAGTCATCCCAGTCATCCGCCTTGGCTTTGGCTATTTCAAAACCTCCTTGGGAAATTACAGACTGTGGTGGGGGAGGATGGGAACAGGTGAGACCCTAGAGGTTGCTGGCACAACTCCCCATTTCTATCCCAACTTCGCGGTCCAAGCAGAGTCATTTGCAAATTTCTCACCCTCGATACTCCCCCATACAGCACAGTTCTACCTGGATCACTGGTCTGGACACAGGCCTCACACTTAAAACATTCTGTCATCCGCAGAAACTTGGGAGTTATGTGTATGAGCTGGTCCACGATGTGAGACAGACAGACAGACAGACAGAGAGACAGACCGTTAGGATAAAGCTTGAGGGAGACCTTGCACGGGGATCCATGGCGGACTCCATGGCAGGCGAGGGTGACCAGAGCTGGGGACAAACACGCCAGACAGACAGAGCTTAAGTGAGACGTTTTATTAGAAAAGGGAGGGGGGAAGGAAAGAGAGAAGAGACACAGGGACAGAGAGAGGAAGGAAGAGAAGAGGGAGACAGGAAACGTCCTGTCTGCCCCAGGGGAACAGCGGGAAAGAGAGCCGGAAGGGAAGAGAGCTGGAAAAGAAGAGCATAAGTGGTCCGGGGTCTTTTTCGTTTTAAAGGGTCCTTTGCACCTGCGTGCAGACTACTCAATCATGGAGCCCTGGGCTGACCAGGGCACTGCCTGAGTGCATTCTGCCAGGCTACAGGGGCAGGCCAGCGTAGTGCCTGAGTCCTTACAGAGACCGTTAGAGATAGAGACAGGCAAAGACAAAGGAGATAGAGACAGACAGAGACAGAGACAGAGACAAGGGGAGAGAGAGACACTATTTTTCTAAATTTAGACTAACTTGCCTGTAATTCTAGAACTCAGGAGGCTGAAGCAGCAAGATGAAGTTTAGGGCAGTTTGGGTTACAGTGTAAAATTCTATCTCAAAACAAAATACATGCTTCCCCTAGCCCTACCCAAGGCTCGGGGTTCAGGAGGAAAAGGGGGGTATTAAGATTCTAAGAGGCAGACTGATTCCTATTTTCCTGAGGAGTCTCCATACTGATTTCCAAAGTGGAGGGGCATCTAGGTTGCTTCCAGGTTCTGGCTATTACAAATAATGCTGCTATGAACATAGTGGAGCAGACGTCCTTACTGTGTGAATGGGCATCTTTTGGATGGAATTGCTGGGTCTTGTGGTAGATTGATTCCCATTTTCCTGAGGAATCTCCATACTGATTTCCAAAGTGGCTGTACGAGTTGGCACTCCCACCAGCAGTAGGAGTGTTCCTCTCTCTCCACATCCTCTCCAGCATAAACTGTCATTGGTGTTTTTGATTTTAGCCATTCTGACAGGAGTGAGATGGTATCTCAGAGTTGTTTTGATTTGCATTTCCCGGATGGCTAAGGATGTTGAGCACTTTCTCAAGTGCCTCTCAGCCATTTTAGCCTCCTCTATTGAGAATTCTCTATTTAATTCTGTAGACCACTTTTTAATTGGATCCTTTGGTGCTTTTTGGAGACTTGTTTCTTGAGTTCTTTGTAAATTTTGGAGATCAGCCCTCTGTCAGATGTGGGGTTAGTGAATATTTTTTCCCATTCTGTGGGCTGCCTTTTTGTCAGTCCACCACAAGACACAGCAACTCCACTCTTAGGCATATACCCAAAAGATGCACATTCATACAACAAGGACATCTGTTCCACTATGTTCATAGCAGCATTATTTGTAAGAGCCAGAACCTGGAAGCAACCCAAATGGCCCTCAACTGAAGAGTGGATAGAGAAAATGTGGTACATTTACACAATGGAGTACTATTCAGCAGAAAAAAACAATGGAATCTTGAAATTTACAGTTACTGGAAGAAACCATCCTGAGTGAGGTAACCCAGTCACAAAAAGACAAGCACTGTATGCACTCACTCATATATGAATTTTAGACATGGATCAGGATAGTGCCAGCCTCTAACCCCACCACCAGACAGTCTGGGAAACAGGAAGGTCCCTGAGAAATATGCGTGGTACCCCAGAGAAGGGGAATGAGGCAAGATCTCCTGAACAGATTGAGAACATGGGGGGAGGGAGGAAGGGGGGAAGAGAGGGGGAGAAGAAGAGGGGAAAGGAAGTCATGGGGGAGCAGGGAGGTTGAGTTGGGGAAAGAATAGAGGAGAGCAGGATGAGAGATACCACAATAGAGGGAGTCATTATAGGCTTGAGGAGAGATCTGGCACTAGTGAGATTTCCAGAGATCTACAAGGATAATACCAGCTGGCAAATTAAGCAATAGTGGAGAGGCTACCTTAAATGCCCACTCCTGATAATGAGTTTGATGCCTACCTTATATGCCATCCTAGAACCTTCATTCAAGACACCCACTGCTAAACACGGAACTGAACTCCTGGAACCCAGTGACAGAGAGGGAGGAGTGATGAGCAAAGGGGTCAAGACTGGGTTGGCGAAACCCAGAGAAACAGCTGACCTGAACACAGCTGACCTGAACAAGGGGGAGATCTTGGACCCTAGACTGATGGCCGAGGCCAGCATGGGACTGATCCAGACCCCCTGAATGTGGGTGTCAGTGAGCAGACCTCGGCAATCTATGGGGCCTTGGGCAGTAGATCAGTATTTATCCCTGGCAAACAAATGGACTTTGGGTGCCCATCCCACAGGGAGACATGATCTCTCAATCTGAACACAGGGGGGAGAGCCTAGGCCCTGACCTGATGGAAATGACAGACTCTGGAGATCCCCCATGGAGGGCCTCACCCTCCCTGGGGATCGGAGTGGGGATTGGGTGGGGGGCTGGAGGGGCCGGTGGGGGAGTGGGAGAGGAGGGGAGGGAGAGGGAGCTGGGATTGACATGTGTAGCAACCTTGTTTCTAATTTAAATTTTAAAAAAATACAAAAAAAATTCTAAGAGGAACCTGGCTGTGGTGGTGTTGGCACACACCTTTGGTCTACATAGTCACAGGACAGCCAGGGCTATGCAGAGAGACCCTGTCTCAAAATAATAATAAAACAAGATTCTTAGAGGCAGAGATAGGGGGAGAGTTGTGTGCACCACAACTGCCTGGCAGTTTTTCGGTTTGTTTGTTTGTTTGCTTGTTTTAAGAGGGGCAGGAAGTCGGGGGATTGGGAAAGTGGTATGGTTCTGGGCGGGGGTTAGAGCAGATGACAAAATAAACTTTCCTGGTGGCTTCTCGTCCCACTCTGGGCCTGAAAGACTCTGAGGGAACAAGGACCGCCTTCCTCCCATTCACGGTGGCTTCTTTCACTCACACCCAGTCAGACAGTTATCCTGCTGGCTTCTTTTTCTTTTCTCCCCTCTTTGCTTCTGCCCTTGGATATGGCCCTATGAGAGCAAGCACTTTATTGCTGAGGTACAAGCCCCGCCCCTCCCTGGTGGCCTCCAGGTGTGTGTGTGTGTGTGTGTGTGTGTGTGTGTGTGTGTGTGTGTGTGTGTGTGCGCGCGCGCTCTCTCTGCTGGCCCTGTGTTCTACCTCTGGCCATTGGGCTAGCCCTTTAACATATTTTCAGTTTGAAATAGGCTATCAGTTGCCCAGGCTGGCCCTGATCAACAGTGTAGCCCAGAGTAGTCTCACACCTGCTACCTTAGCCTCCTGGGCGGCTAAGGTAACACTTGTTTTTACCAGTTTCGTTTTGATGCTGGCCTCACACATTCGTTGTTGTCCGGAGAAGCTGGCCTTGAACTCAAAAGAGGTACTGCCGGATTCTGCCTCCTCGGAGCTAGGATCAAAGGCCTGCGCCGCCTGGTGGTGCACACCTTTAACCGCAGCCCTCGGGAGGCAGAGGTAGGCGGATCTCCGCTGAGTTTGAGGCAGCCAGCATGGTCTACAGAGGGAGTTCCAGGACAACCAAAGACGCACACGCACACACAATCCCCACCACAGTTTCGCCTCCCCCACTCCTCTCTGCTCCGAAAAGGGCAGACTTCACATGGAAAGGAATGGCATGGCATTTCTTGTAGTGAGACTAAGCACCTCGCCGTGTATTAACGCTGGGCAAGGTGAACTAGAATGAGAAGTAGGATCCTCAATGACAGTAAAATAGAGAGACATCCCTTGCTCCCGCTGTGAGGAGTCCCTACCGGAAGACCAACCAAGCAACATAATAACTGCCACATATATGCAGTGAGCTAGCCTAGGTCAGTCCCATGCAGCCCACAGCCAACACAAGTGGAGAGAGGGAAAAAAAAATGTCAGTGTTAACAACGCCTCACCATATTCTGCCATACCGTGGATACCCATGCCAGGACTGTCATCAGAAAGACCTTCTCCATGCCAAGCCGTTACTACTACAGACAGGCGGATGTGTAGGACATCTACAGCCGACTGTCCAACATTAGCCTTCTAGTCCCTTCTCCCAAATCGCCCCAGAGACTGTGTCAAACACTCGCCTGACTGGTGGATGGCTCTTCAGTCTCTGACGGGTTCTGCAGCTCTGGGCTAGCCTGGCCTCTGTTGGGCGGCTCCTCGCTCTGACTCGACAGATGCTCCTGGGACAACGCCACGTGGTCCCACTCATCCTCCACGGCTGCAGCCTCCTTAACCGTGGGATCTCGGCGGAGGTACAGCCGTCCTTCCCAGTTGACGATGGACTACGGGGTGGGGGAGGGACAGGATGAGACCCTGCGTAAGTAAGAGCCTGGCTATGCCTCTCACAGGACTGCTCCTGGGCTGACTTAGCAGCCAAAACCGGCGTCTTTGCAAATCTGGCTTCCTGGACACGGACAGGGTCTTACTCAGCTACACGGCAGACTGGGGACCAGACTGGACAAGGAGTTGGGTGGGGGCCGGAAAGATGGCTCGGTTGACTAAGAGCACTGACTGCTCTTCCAGAGAGAGGACTCAGGTCCAAAATCCCCCAGCACCCACTCTCCTCGTAAGAGCACTAAGAACACTCCTGGGTGGATTCTGCCTTCAGGTCACCGCAGCCCCCCCTCCATGGCTGTCTTTTCCCTGAGCCCGCTGCTCACCCATTGGCGTGGTTTCCTGTGGTCCCTCAGCATCCTTTCTAGCTCTTTGCAGCTTTTCACTTGGTTCTCCTTGACCAAAGCCTGAAGTTCTGGCGGCATGGAGATCATAAATTGCTCCAGTATCACCAGGTCCAGAATCTCCTCCTTGCTATGTAGATCAGGTCTCAGCCATTGGTGGCATAGCTCAGAGATTTGTTTCAGGCACTGGATGGGACTAGACTTCTTCGAGGGACAAAAACTGCGAAATTTAAAATGCCAAACCTCCCGGTTGTAGTCTGGCTTCTCTCTTACTGTTTCCTGGGACTTGAGAGACGGTTTTGATCTGAGGCTGTCTGGCGGCAGGCTTGTGGCCGTGTCTGCGTTGAATGTTCCTTTAGCCTCCGGGAGTTGGAATTTGAAATGACTCCTGTCGGGCCCTGCCCTGGATGACATGACGGGACTCTGGGGATCCACCATGGAGGGCCTCACTGTACCTGGGGATCGGAGTGGAGACTGGGTGGGGAGGGCTGGGGAGGGAGAGGGAGCTGGGATTGACATGTGAAACAAACTTGTTTCTAACTTAGATTTTAAAAAGGGGGGAGGTTAGATTCAAATAAAGGAAGACTGAGTTGGAAAAAAAAGAAATGACTCCTGTCTAAATAGACCTACTCCTTTATCCACGGGGATAGGCTCCGTGCTGGTCCGGAAGCCTGGGATGCAAGAAGCAACCAGATCAGTTTAACGCTGCTGCCTCCTAAATCTCATCACCCCTCACACTATAACCCTCCCGCCAATACACTGGGACTCTGTAGTAACGCAGACATGAATCGTCTGATGGAACTGGGGCAAAGGCGTCTCCAGACAAGCCCAATGACCTGAGCTAAATCCTTGGACCTAGATGGTGGAAAGTACCAAGCTGTCTTCTGGCCTCCAAGTGTGATAGTCCTGGCACCCATGCCATGCCAAGATCAGTTTCTTATTTATATGCATCATGTATCTGTACTAGGGACCCTGGAACTAGAATTACAGACAGCCCAGAGCTGCCACCGGGATGCTGTGTCCTCTGGAAGAGCAGCCAGTGCTCTTAACCTCTGAGCCATCTCTCCAGACCCCCAAGATAATTTTTTTTAAATCAAACACTCTACTCTAGCTGTGTATGATGGAACATCTGTACTCTCGGACACGGAAGTCGTGGGAGCCTGACACTTGCCACATTTTTGAAACCACCCTAGGTTACATAGCAACCACCAAGTCTAAAAGACATAAGGGCTATAAGACTCACTCTTAAAAGCAAAGAACAAGCCAGGCATTGGCAGCACATGCCTTTAATCCCAGCACTCGGGAGGCAGAGGCAGGTGGATCCCTGTGAGTTCGAGACCAGCCTGGTCTACAAGAGCTAGTGCCGGGACAGCCTCCAAAGCCACAGAGAAACCCTGTCTCAAAAAATAAAAAAATCAACGAACAAGGCAGGCATGATGGCACATGCCTACATGCCTTTAATCCCAGCACTTGGGAGGCAGAGGCAGGTAGATCTCTGTGAGTTCCAGGCCAGTCTGGCTACAGAGTGAGTTCCATGACAGCCAGGGCTACACAGAGAAACCCTGTCTCAAAAATAAAGCACAAAAAATATGGGTATGGTGGCTCAACCCATAATCCCAGCACTGGAGAACTTAAAATTGTTAAAAGCTAGCCTGGGCTATTGAGCAAAAAACAGTTTCAGAAAACAAATATATAAAAAATGAACTCATCCAGCTGGGCAGTGGTGGCGCATACCTTTAATCCCAGCACTCAGGAGGCAGAGGCAGGAGGATCTCTGCGAGTTCGAGGACAGCCTGGTCTACAGAGTGAGTTCCAGGACAGCCTCCAAAACAATGCAGAGAAACCCTGTCTCAAAAAGCCAAAAAAAAAAAAAAAAAAAAAAAAGGAAGAAAGAAATGAACGTATCCAATCTTCCAACTCCTTGTTCCTACACACGCTGGCTTAAAAGAATCAATGGCAACCGGACAGTGGTGGCGCACGCCTTTAATCTCAACATTCCGGAGATAGAGGCAGGCGGATCTCTGAGTTCAAGGCCAGTCTGGTCTACAGAAAAAAACAATGGAATCCTGAGTTTGCAGGCAAATGGATGACACTAGAATAAACCATCCTGAGTGAGGTAACCCAGTCACTAAAAGAGAAACATGGCATATACTCTCTCATACATGGATTTTAAACATAGATCTGGGGAGTGCCAGCCTACAATCCCATGGCCAGAGAGTCTGGGAAACAGAACCTTCATTCAGTGGCTGATGGAAGAAGAGGCAGACTCCCACGGTTAAGCACTGAGCTGAACTCAAGAAAGCCAGGAACAGAGGGGGAGGACTGATGACCAAAGGATTAAGACTGGACTGGTTTAACCCCAGAAACAGCTGACCTGACAAGGGTTAACTCTTGAATCCCAGGCTGATGCCTCCAAAATAACAGAGAAACCCTGTCTTGAAAAACCAAAAACCAAAAAAAAAAAAAAAAAATTCAATGACTCCTGACATCTTGGACACAGAGGTAACAGTATTCTTTTTCTTGTTTTTGGTTTTTTTTTTTTTTGAGACACCGTCTCTCTGTGTAGCCCTGGCTGTCCTGGAACTTGCTCTGTAGACCAGGCTGGCCCCTAACTCAGAGATCTGCCTGCCTCTGCCTTCTGAGTGCTGGGATTAAAGGTGTGCGTTATTATGCTTGGCCAAAAGAAAAAGAAAAAAATTTTAGTAACTTTCTAGCCTCAAAATCCTAGATATTTGTTTGTCTCTGTGCACCTAGTACCTGGCTTAATTATTTTAATAATTAAAATGACAAAATAACAACACAGTTAATTGCAGACTGGGCATTACAGTGTATACCTGCAATCCCAGCACTCTGGAGGCAGAGGCAGAAAGGTCCGTGAGTTCAGGGACAACCTGGGCTACATAGGAGGACCCAATCCCTATCAGAGACAAAAATAAATTATAAGGTTGGGCTGGACTCTGGTGGTACATGCCTTTGGTCCCCACACTCGGGAGGCAGAGACAGGTGGATCTCCGAGTTCTAAGCCAGCCTAAACTGCTGTGCCCAAGTTGTGAAGGTCCCCAGAAAATCCCCACGGAGACAGACACACCAAACTGCAAAAACAAGGTTTTAATTGCTCATCCAACCATGACAGGGACCCTGTCTGGCTAGCTGTCAAAGCAGCCTCCAGAGGGAGTGAAGTTCCCTGTCTACTGCTAGGTTTTTTTGTTTTTTGTTTTTTTGTTTTTTGTTTTTTCGAGACAGGGTTTCTCTGTGGCTTTGGAGGCTGTCCTGGAACTCACTTGGTAGTCCAGGCTGGTCTCGAACTCACAGAGATCCGCCTGCCTCTGCCTCCCGAGTGCTGGGATTAAAGGCGTGTGCCACCAACGCCCGGCTTACTGCTAGGTTTTAAAGACAAAAGTTACAGGATGACATCAGTAGGTACGGGGTTGATTTCTCTTTGGTTTCACATTTGGGTACAATTAGGAGCATTTTTCAAAGTCATATTTTGGCATGAAATACCTGTATACCAATTATTTTCATTGATCAGTGCTGAAAGGGAACATTCTGTGGTTTCTATGACATTGTCTTGTTATTTGCAGATGGCCTGTTGTTCATAGATAGCATTAGTTTTCAGGACTATATCCTGGAGACTACAGGGGAGGTTTTGGTCCCCCCTGGAGTTTCTTTTGTGGCCAAAAAGTTCCCAGGAACCAAGTATCTAGGAGGCTGGGGTCTGGAGCTCCTTTGTGTTCAGTTTTGGCACTAGACTCCGGGAGGCCAGAGGATCTGGGGTTTCCTTGTGTCAGAGGCCTATGTGTCTTTTCTGTAGCCTGTCATGGCTGCTACAGCAGGGGCTGAGGAAGGGTCTGGTCCCTTCATTTCCTCTCGAATGAATAATAAGAGTTGAATGGGAACTTAAGGCTTTGTTACATTTATACAATTTTTCCCCCGTGTAAATTATTAGAAGTGAAGCCTTTTGAGTTTAGTTTACCCCTTTCGTGGACTACAGAGCTAGTGACAGGACAGGGAAAAAAAGAAAAAGGAAAAAAAAGGTTACAAGGTTGGAGATGTAGCTCGGTTGGTGGGGCGCTTATCTGGCATCTTTGAGGCCTTGGGTCACATTCCCAGCACTGTAAAAAATAAGATTTAGCCAGGCGGTGGTGGCGCACCCTTTAATCCCAGCACTCGGGAGGCAGAGGCAGGCGGATCTCTGTGAGTTCGAGGCTGGGCTGGACGGATAGCCTCCAAAACAATACAGAGAAACCCTGTCTCGAAAAACCAAAAAAATAAATAAAATAAGATTTAAAATACTTCATCCACTCCTCCCCCCCAAAAAATGGTGCTAAAAACTAATACTTTAATGTTTCCAGAATTAGAACTTTAACAGAGAAATATTATCATCATTGATTTAAACGCGTTCCATAGTGGTTTGGGGGTTTTGTCTTTGTTTTGACAGTGTGTTTGTGCAAGCCCAGACTGGCTTAAAAACTCATTTTGTTGTCTGGTTTGGCCTTCAGCTCAGAACAACTATCCACTGTCTTGCCTCCTGAGAGCAGGGATTACAGGTAGGCGAGCCCATATCCCTCCACAACGGTTTTTTGCTTTGTTTTGTTTGTTTTGGGGGGGGGGTTGAGACAGGGTTTCTCTGTGGCTTTTGGAAGATGTCCTGGAACTCGCTCTGTAGTCCAGGCTGGTCTCGAACTCACAGAGACCCGACTGCCTCTGCCTCCCGAGTGCTGGGATTACAGGTGTGTGCTGCCACCACTCGACCCAAACTGAATTCTTGTGTTCTTCAACCTCACGACTTGGTATAATTGTGCTAACTAAGAATAATATGGTGCATGCCTTTAATCCCAGCACTCGGGAGGCAGAGGCATGCAGATCTCTTTGTGTTCGAGGCCAGCCTGGTCTACAAAAGCTAGTTCCAGGACAGCCTCCAAAGCCACAGAGAAACCCCGTCTCGAAAAACCAAAAAAAAAAAAAAAGAACTGTCGGAGGATCTGAGTTCGGGACCAGCCTGGTCTACAAAATGAGTTTCAGGATAGCCAGCGGTACGCAGAGAAACCCTGTCTTGAAAATCATTAAACAAAAAATAAATTGGACCTGGCTGGGGCAGTTGGATGGAGTTCTAGGCCTGCCTGGAAGTAGATCTCATCTCAAAAGATAAATAAATAAATAAACAAACAAACAGATTCAAGCATGCAACCGCGTTGACCCAGCCGCCCAGTGTGGAGAGATTGAGATCGGAGCGAAGCGGAATCCATGCTCCGAGTCCGTAACAGCAGCATCGTGATTTAGCAGGAGCCGGGCACCAAGGGAGAAAGGCGTTTACCCGAGGACGCAGTAGGAGTTCTTTTTGTGTGCTGAGAATGCCTCACCGTGCCAGGGCTGGGAACTCGTGCACGGCATCCCCCTGCTTCAGCTACCTAGTG